GACAGCCATGTATTTTTTTACGAGTGGTCGACTCACACCGAAGCCGCCGCGATGTTTCTGGTAGGTGGCAAGAGGAAATAAAGCGGTGGGAGGAGAAATCAATCACTGCATTTCCGCGGCTGTTAAAATGGACGGGGTCGTATAGAGAAGTACCCTGACATCTCAGAATACCACCGTAAATTTGGGGTATTTACACTTTTGCATTGGAAAGGCAGATAGAAAATATATTTATTTACTTAGAAAAAATACGCATAAAATAAACTTAAATTTAAGAAAAAAGAAACTTTGTCATAAAACCTAATTAGAAATAAATAAATGAAATATTAAACGAAAAAATTGATTGTACACCCAATTTGTTACCGGGAAATTAGGTCGACATCTCTGCATTATGGTGTACTAGAAGTAATAACCCCAACACAGCGCTGATTTTCATGATACATCGATACTATACCGACCTATATACAGGGATATAATACAAATAGTATTATGTTACGTTTGTTATTTTATATTTCGTTTTCTGAGTTAGATAATAGCGACAACGGCTCATAATGTTAAAGATTTAAATAGTTATAATTCCGCAAAGGATGTGAATGTTCACAGACAGCGGGATGCCTTTACACATATAGAATCTATCTTATTTATAGTTTAAATACACAAGTATATTTCCATTAAAAAAACGAAAACGTCTTCAAGACATCTTACTCACTATTTTTTTTATTTTTTTATTTTGATGACTTGCTTAATGTATCTAGGGAGTTCAAGGACTACATAGGAGTTAAACCTAACCCAATCTCAAACGATTTTTTTAATCAGTCCGTAAATGAAATCAGTTCATAAATGAGAGTTCAGAGGTAAAGAACATGAAAAAAAACAACCGAATGGAGAATCATCTTTTTTTAAAGTCGGTAAACAATCAAAGTGTGAAATTGTTCTCTCTTCACAAAAAGCAATTAAGATATAATACGCTTTAAAATATATAGGATACTAATCATGTTATAGTCAACATTAAGAATTTGATTACGTAAAAACCACATTAATGTAACCGCTGAAGAATGTAATTAACCTAGGCAGTTCCCGATAAAAGTATTGTCTTCTCCCAATACCCGACTGCTAAAGTCGGCAATGCGTTACGCAAAATTTCATTTCAATGTACGATGTTTCAATGCAATCATCGTTCACGAATCAATCTAAAACTTACAATATAAACCGGGAAATAAAATGGTTAGGTGTAAATCCATCATCCAAACCCGCGGCCCAAAAGGCGCGCGCTCACAAACTTTATAATGAAATGAATTTAAGAAAGAACTCTTGGGTATGTCGAGAAATTGACGAATCGCTCGCTCTATATGATGGGCGTTTGCAAAAACTTGTCATTTAACGGTCGTCTTCTTAAGACAGAATATGTTGTATTTCGATGGATTTGAAGCGAATAGACTAAACAAAAAACATATCTTGTATCTGTAAAGAATATTTTTACGAGCGTAAATAAAACACACAATTTTTTTTTACGGATTTAATAGAATTATAACAACAACTGGTGATTTAAAATTTTAAACCGATTGCAAATACAATAATCTACAAACACGATTACACGAGAAATACTATAAAAACTTCTTAGGCTCTTAAATAAATAAATTAACTGTGGTAGGGCCACGCAACAGCTTCTGTTGTCGTACGATATTGCATAGAAGGCAGAAGTACCACGGATGCGGAGGAGAGCAGAGTGAAGTAGTAGTGTGATACTTTTGCGTTCTAGTGAGTGAGGTAGCATGTTCTAAAACAACTTCAAGGAGAGAGCCAAAAATATAAGTACTCCAAAAAGTTTTCTACCCCACGTAGGTATCTTAGGCTCCGTGCAAAGAGACCTAATCTTAAGTTATTGATGCAATTAGCGCCAATAAATTGTGTTTGAGATTATTATCCTTGAATTAAGATGAAGACCCCTTGCATAATATGACTATACTTTTTAATTTATTGTTCGTAAACAAATTTAATTAACTTATTGTTAATAATAATTTGGAAAAAATCTCTATTTAGCCTCGTTTTAAATAAGTTTTATGACAAAAGCGGTTCACATATTTCGATCTGTCTAAAGAAGAGCCGCAAGGTTTTTATCAAAAAATTTAATGTTAAAATGATGATATTGTATCACAGCCATATGTGCAAGTACAAACATTATTCGTTTCCACATTACATCGGTTTCCGAAATATTTTGGACAGTGCAATTAGTATTTTATTTTATCAAAAACGTTAATGAGAATTTTTTTTGATAGTGATCAGGTTACCTCTACTTTTTTTTACACATTTCGACATATAGGAACGAAATATTTTTTTGTTTTTGTCATTAAGTCATAAAATAAGAATATTTTACGACTGCTTGACCTATTTTAATTTTTAATGTAATAAGAAATAATATTACATTTGTGCAGAGTATATACTTATTACAATATACTAACGCCCGATCAATTCAAAGATTAGAATGATCAATTCAAAGAGTTTAACCATCTTTTTGGCAACTCAAATGACATTTTAGAAGTCATTTGACAGCGGATTAGTTAATTTGTACGATGATCAGTGTTTCAGAATCCAGGCGTAAATATTTCAAATAAAAACTAACGATTAATATAGTATTTGGTTGAGAAATGCCCATAAAAACCTTTAAACGCGTCCAGCATTTATAACAAGATGGCCGCCGATCGATCACGCGGGACATCGAATTTGACAGATCGGCCCAATTCCGTATTCCGTCCAAAAACCAACCGAAATGTTATCAAAAGCAACGCAATCAAGCCCATTGTATTTGGATAGATGCAACTCAGATTTGTTTGGATACGATCGATTTTGTAACATGAGTGACATTTTTTCCATAAAAACCAGCCCCAATAAAAATTTGAAAAAAGTTATGTCATTTCTTTCATTCATGGTCAGGGCACTGGGCTGATACGTGGACCTTTGGTTCAATTGCAAATCAAAGCAATCATAATATGTGATCCCAAATTTTTAAAACAGCGATAGATTATCAGGAGCAACAACCTTATATGCTTTATTTTTAAACATATTTCTTCTTCTCCCTGTTTACTTATAAGGAATTTAAAATAGTCCTTAGGAATTTGACGAGGTATGTTGTATGTTCACTTATGTTTAATTAATTCACTTTGGAATGTTTTCTTTTGTTAAACAAGCTAAAACGAAAAAGCTCGAACGAAAAATTGATAAAATATTCTTGATTAGTCTTATATTTAATAGTATACATTATGTTGGTTGGTTCAATAAATAGCTTGAAAGAAGCCTTATTTAATAAGAAAATTGGCTGGAAGATTAACTTTAAATTATGAATTTCTTGTAAAAATTTTGCTGACGTGAGATACCAACATAGAAGCAATACTGTATTAAAGCAACTTAATTTAATTTCACCACATATTCATTTCCGTTTTTCTATGACATATCATCTAGTGTTACTTTGAATTTGATTATTACCTATTTTTTTTCGTACTTATCCAGTTGAAGGTGTTGTCGTTTTGTTTACACCAGCCGTACTATAAGTTTTATTTCATTCCTTTCATAAAGAGCATAGCGTAGTGTAATGTAATTATATGGTTCGTTTTTTACTAATGTTATGTTCGTTAAATATTTCTTAATTATTTTTAATCACCTACTTTTCTCATTCATTTTATATCTAACTGATGCGCATCGTACCGTAGTTAGGTTTAGGCAGTACTTTATTAAAAAAATAAGTGTGTTCTTATGTAAACACGTAAAAAGTTACGTAGTAAGGTAGTAGTCAGCGTAACAAAAAAGAAAATTTTTATCAAAGAGTTTAGGCACTTTGTGCCATAACTCTTTGTTTGTGAAAAAGACATTAAATGCATTTGATAATGGTTTAATTAAATAACTTGTTATTGATAATACCTCGAAGTTGGTCACGCAACCAAATTCTTCATGTTAGTGTCATATTTTTTCAAAAGAGCCTAAAGAAATACATATCATTTTTATTCATTTATTTATATAAATTTCTATTAATGCCGATTTGGTTCGTGTATAATTTTGTTTGCGCTACTGGTTACTTGATAACCATTTCCGTATGATAACATTTGATGGTGTTTAAGCTTTACTAGGTAACTGTTAGTTGTCCTAAAGATAAAAAAAGAAAGTACTAGCATACAATAAAAAGTTTAAATGTCAGTCTGCACATATGCGCTGAAATTTACGTTTGTTGTATCGCAACTAAACACGTGAATAAAACTGATAATGAAACATAAAATTTAAAGTAAAACATTTACACAGTTAAAAAAAGTGAATTCACAAAAACTGGCCAGTAACATAATAACTTTAGAAAGAAGATAAGTAATAATAAAAGTCAAGCGGAAAACATTTCGAAAATGTAATATTCGCGACCCTCATACATAATCCAATCAAAGTGAAATTGATTCCAACACTTCCCGAACGTTGCGGGAGTAAAATTGTTAAGTCTCCCATAAAGCGCCGGCGATAACAATGGGCTTATGTCTACATGCACGTCTGTATGTAGCACGAAGCCGCAACGGACGCGAGACCCATTAAAACAAACAAGCTAGCAGCTGCGAGGGCAGGAGCTACTCGCGCAGAACGCTCTGCCCCTAAGCCCGCCTCCGAAAGAAGCACAAAAATCAACATAAATAACAATACACACCCCTATCTCAGACACTCTGACAACCGATTCGACGGAAAACTCCACAAGCGACTGCGAAAGCCAACACAAAAGTGACTGTACATCATTCGGCATAAAGGCGAATACAGAAAAGCAAGCCATTGGCGCATACACCGAAGCGATGGTGACGTGTTACGTGCAACAATTGAAAAATACTTCGTCTCTTTCGTCCATTGAACGGCGCCGCTGTCCCTCTTCTCTCGGGAGCTTTTATTAAATTTATTGTTAAAGAAATGTATATAAAAGTTGTCGGGACACGGAAGGGTCCCAGTCCGTTACTTTGGTCGGCCGAGGTACGTCGCGCGGGAAGAGAATGCTGTCTATCGAGCGGAATTACTCGAGACTGTTTAGGCCGTGGGACGCGAGAGAAGATGCCGTCGTCGAGAGGGAGAAACGCGCCGAAAGCGAGACGAAGAATTCCGAGGACCAAGCGAAAGTGAGAAAGCGGAGACAGGACGAGAAGAGAGAGAGCCGCCTGAGGAAAATCCGCGGCACCTTCAAGAAGCACGACGAGCACCAGGACGCGACGGTCTCCACCACAACGATCGAAACTGGCGACGAATCCGCATCCAAAGCAGAAGCGCCTTCGGACGGCGTGAGTTCAGTGACCAAGCTCAGTATGTGCTGCGACAGGCTGCTCCAGAAACCGGAGAAAGAAACGCCCAAAAACCATATAAATAACCCAGTTGACATGACAGCAACACAAATCAAATCAAATCCGTTCGTCAGCCAAGCAGGGAGTGCCCCGCATTACCGACACGCTCTGATGCCGGAGTACATAACGGCGGACATCGCACACGCGTTAGGGGTGCCGCCGTCGGACCCGCTACTCCTCGAGTCATTAGCGCAGGGCTACGCGATGGAGCTCGAGTACGCGAGGATCCTGCAGCAGGAGACGGAGGCGAAGATGCTGAGCGCGCGGAAGCAGCGCCCCAAGAAATATAAGTGCCCGCACTGCCACGTGGGTTTCTCCAACAACGGCCAGCTGAAGGGCCACGTGCGCATACACACGGGCGAGCGGCCGTTCAAGTGCGACGAGAAGAACTGCGGGAAGACCTTCACGAGGAACGAGGAGCTGACGAGGCACAAGCGCATCCACTCCGGCGTGAGGCCCTACCCGTGCCAGACCTGCGGCAAGCGGTTCGGCAGGAGAGACCATTTAAAAAAGCACTCCCGTACCCACTACTTGCAAGCCGAGAGAATGTTACCAGTGTTCGTCCCCCTATCCGCCATACCACACGTCGGCGCGTTCCCATATTTGTACGGATACTGATTTTTTGAGTCAATTCTAGGTTTAATGACAGTTTTTAGGTTATGCTGTGAAAATAATCTAACAAGACCTATCGTGTTCGTATATTTTTACTACATTTGATATTATAAAACAAAGTAAACGTGTTGATTGTAAGAAAGAAAGTTTATGATTAAAATGATGGCTGTAAATTATTTTCGAAGTATGTTTGTATATATTGGACAGAGTGCAAGAAATTGTATAAATTTATATTTTGTATATCCAAACGAAAACTGCATATAAAAATATTTTGACACAGAATTTTTTGGTGTTTTAATAATTGTAATCTCTCAGTTACATAAGTACTAAATTAACAATACCTTTAATATTTACACTTTCTATTATTTTTAATAACATCTCCAAAATATTATGACAATAATAAAACTATTGTGGCTCATAAATTATCGGTAATATCTGATGCACGAATAAACAAGTGGAATGATTTTGTTTCTAGGGCACATCAAATACACATAATTTGCTGAAAATTGAAAATGATAAAATTCATATTTCAGACTTGAACATTTTTTATTGCACTTGTGCCTTACTAACTATAAATATAATGCGGAACATGTGTACTATGTTGGTAACATATATGTTTTTTTATATGTTAAAGGGAAAACAAACATTGACATCAAACAATATCGATATGGCATCGACTAGGGCCCGCAAACATTGGATATATTATCTTGAAGCTATGACCAACATTTAAAACTGTGTAAAGATAAAATATGAACGTAAAGTAACTAACACAGTGTACCCACAGCGTTCGGGTCCCCATAATCATCTCTTATTTTCTTATATGTTACTGTTAAAAAATATTTCTCATGACCTAACCTAACAAACTAAGCCGTACAGTAGTCTGAAGGGGTTTTTTTATGTGAAAAGGTGGCAATGATGTTAAGTGATAATCGCCGCCCATGGACGTTTGTAATTTGTAACACCAGTAGCATTGCAGATGCGTTGCCACCTTTTAATAAAGTGGACCCGGCTACCTCACACACCAGATGAATAGCAGAAATACAACACTTCCACTTCAGGCCGGTCTTCTGTGAGTTGTACGAAATAGGAGCTGTTGCGTGGCTCTAACACAGGAACACAGAAACAGATTTGGAAGGTAAGGAATGTTAGATAAATGTGTCTCACTGTTCATGCCGTCCTTAAAACTCTCGATTGTTTCTTTATTATCTTTTAGGCAACACGACATTTGATGACTGCGTGGCGGATTTGCTTATTTTATATTATATTTGCTTTTACTGTATTTGCTACTGGTTTCGGTGCTGAAGTCCTGGGTACGAGACAACTATTTGTGTGACCCATAGATAATTTGTCTGGTTATTCGATAATTGATTCAGCGGTTCGTCCTCGTGAAATTTATATAATATATGTAAAGCGTCCGTACAAGATTGGAGAATGTTATCCCACAGTATGCCAACGGGGGCAATTTTTTCGAAGAGAAGATTACAATACATCTTTTTAGGTTGCAGTGGTCATTGGGACTTACTACCCAACCCAATCAACACAAAGTACAAATAATAATAATAAATAAATATTTATGGACACATTATTTTTACACAACGTTCTCTAGTCCCAAACTAAGCAATGCTTGTACTATGGGTACTAGAAAAGACAGACATACTTAAACATACTTTTCTTTTATAAATAAATACACATCATACATACATAAACACCCAGACACTAGAAAAACACTATGCTCATCACACAACATTTTTCCAGTAGTGGGGATCGAACCCACAACCTCTGGCGCAGAAGGCAGGTACACTACCGACTACGCCATTCGGGTCGTATAAATAAAACAGAACCTAGAACTTCATAAAAAATATCTTTCTACCACATGTGAATCCTTTTAATTTGATTATAATTTTTATATAGTATGTCGTTCAAACCTACCTCTGGCGGCAACAAAAAAGCAAGATGCGTTTCCTGCCCCATTGTCATAATTGCATGAACATGAAAGTCATAATTTACTCGAAACACGCTCCAATACTATATGTTTAATTGCCTTTAGAATTATTAGACGATATGCAAGTATTTTTATGTGAGGCGGTGGCAAGAGAGCTGTCGGTTAGCCTGATGCTTGTGATAACTGCTACACTGCCCATGGACAACAATCAGTGGGGATCATCATCGGGACCATACCGAATGCTTTGCTACCTTTCAATAAAGTGTGCCCCGGTTACCTCACTCACCAGAGGACGCAGAAGTATAACACTTCCACTTCACGCCGGTCTTCCCCGGACAGACTTGCCCGTTCGTGCAACAGCTAATACTGCTGCGTGCCCCTACCACAGAGAAAGCAAATGCCACAGTAAAATTTATAAGCAAATTATAATAAAATGTAGCACCAAAGAAATTTTGAATGGAAACAGAAATTGAAATATTGAAGTTACATTACAGCTACTACAATTGCTACGAAAATGCCCCCGTCGTAAATAAAATGAAAAGAAAAATGGACGTCAAGCTGTTAGCAATGACAACACTCGATTCGGCCAATTATAATTGCAAATACGTTCTGCTCGGGACTAAAGACGGGACCCCGCTGAGTCTGAAACGGACGTCCGAATCAACACTCTGATATATCGAGGGCATCTTACACGTGGGAATATTTCTCATTTGCGCGTAATGTCATTTGGCGTAAGAGAAACATTTATTGCGTTATCTTCAAATACTTTTTGAGGCAGCTCGATAATTTGTAGCTTACTGCAATAAGAAAAACATTAATTTAATAGCTAAAACATAGTGAAAAGGAAACATATATTGTTAAATTGACTACATTGAACGTGATAAATGAAATAGTTGTTACAAATGATATTATATACAAATAAGAGAAAAACTGAGTCACAAAAATTACGAAAATTGGTGTAATTTGTTTGCATTTCTATAGACTGTTATCTCTTTCCGTGTCATATTCTATATTATCTGTCACATTCACTTATATAATTATGTCATATAATGTAAAATGAAACAATTTGTAACGCCGCCCAGTATCAAAAAGAATGTAATCACTACGTTTATGCCCAGTCTGGACATGCGTCTTTATTTAAACATCATAATTGGTTGTTACGGTACAGTTTTCGAAATTGACATTTCTAAACATAATATTCTCCACTGTCCCGCCGCTAAATAAAAATAAAACAGTTCAACTAAAATATTGTTTTCTAATTATCTGCAATATACTAATTAATAAATAAATTAATAACCAAGTGTAAATTTATAATGGCTCTATGATCATTTCAAAAATTTAATAATAAAGGTGGAAGAGCAACAGAAGCAATTCATTTAATCGATACATCATCTTTTATATTCCAAACAAGATAAAAAAAATGCAAGGTAAAGTTAAACAGGATCGTCGAGTACGGACTTCCGGTGGGATTAATAGCGAAATTTGGACAATTATTTGTTGTCGTAAATATGTTTTGACTTCCGCTATTGTACGTTGGATAAAGCGATCGCACTTGCGACATCAATGGACTTTTAGGAATCAAAGAATCTCCCAATAGTATACGTAAAGATTTATTTATAATGATTACGTTTTTGAAGGAGAATTATTCTTTTATTATCTTGTAATTTATTTAAGAATTTATGGAAAAATTAGAGAATTCCTTGTTTTGTGACTGGTGACATGGGCCAAGAGCAAACATTTTTTTGAGATTTTGAAATAATTCGAATTCCATCATAATTTTACTCAACTCGTATTAGCTATGATGTGTAACGCTACGCCTACTGTACCTTCCGATCATGCGTAACGCAAGGTAATCAACATGCAAGCAACGAACGTTGCTTATATGCCACAAATTTGTAAAATGCAAAGAAATAGTTTAGGTGATAGTACAGATCCTTGGAAGACACGGGCGTTCGCTCAAAAAACTGGTGACATATTGGGTTAGTTAATTTAACCTTTAATTTCCCTTTTCTAGCCTGACGATAGCGATCTTAGGTTAGCGTTATAAGGTTACTGTGCTAAGTACAAAGCCGTGTGAGAGTGTAACGAAACGTTTCTCCTTGTTCTAAGCTTTAAAATATATCGTTATAAATCATATAAGTTCCAATAATAAAAAGTCGACGTAAAAAATGGTCGCAGCATAGGTGTGACCGAGCATTTCATCCAAAAAGTCAATGTGTAGTTTTTTTTAATGTTCGGGAATCTGGCACAATTTTATTCGTTCGGATAACCCGCCTACAAGCCGAACAAATTAGTTGAATGCGTAATTTATTGCGCGTATCCGAATTAATAGCTATATAAAAAAAGATTTTTTGACGTTCGTGTCGCAGGTGGCGGCTAAGGCGCGGATGATATTAATGACAAGGATGAATGAATGAATTTCGGCCAGTGTAAACATTTATTGTTTGGTATCCAAAAAATCGCAGAAGGGACTAACTTGCGTAAAAAAAGTCTACAAATATTTCCTTTCAAATTTAGTGGTTCGTCCGAATTTTAATATAAATTGCAGAGGTTATAAATTTTATTTTTTTTTGAGTATAATTAATTTTTTTTTATTTTATAATCTGTAAACTGATAACCGATTTTTTAACGGCAAAGTATTATTTTCAGGTATATGAAAAAAAACTTCACAGATTTACCACACAAGATTTACAAGATGAAAAATGTATACTGCAGTTCGTCCAGTGAGTGAGATAACCGTAATGTAACAGATTTTTAAGGAATAATTAATGACTGTTAGTAACAATTAGTTAACATCTTATTTTTATCATTTTCTGGACATATTTGGACACAACGTTGTTTAATACCAAACAAAGCAAAGCTTGGACCTGCTGTGGATACTAGGTAACTGATAAACATACTTAAATATTAAAATAATTATTGTTGGGTAAAATTTTCCATTACCACAGTGTGATTTACCAAGTGCAAAAAAATTTTATTCGATAAAGAAAAATCACTAATGAAATAAACAACAGGTAGAATTATCTGGCTGCGCATAGTTTTCGAGAAAAAAAATATTTAA